AAGATGACATGCCTTTCCTACTTTGTAGATGCTCTCACTAACAAATGCATTTTTACATATCATTTCTTTGTTTCTTCTATGCCACACTAGAATGAGAAACTGCATCAATGAATCCCAAGCTGTCAAATGAAGTTACCAATTTAGTCTTTAGATAGGTTTCTTGATGGGATAAGTCCTTTGGGTTATAGACATAAGACTAGACGTCCACCAAGAAATGGTTTTGACACCATAACTTGGAGAATTTACCCTAACATTAGAAAGGTAGCTCAAACTCTATGTCACATATGTTAGCGTTAGCCACCTTGGTAAAGGGCGTAACCAGGTAATACTAGTGCTTGAATAGATGAAAAAGAGTGTCAAGGTCAACATGTTCTTTTATACTCACGCAATAGTATAAGACTCCCCAAGGCTTCACATATATCTTGTGAGTTTAACTTTCCGTTAGATGTATTTTGTATGATATCAAAACTAAGATACTTTAGCGTTTATGTATCTTGAATGATATCCTCTGAATCTTAATGTGCATTTTTGCATTAGAAAACGTAACATCATTTTGGAAATGATTTATAAAAGGTTTAATAAATAAAATTTTTTTAGAAAATGTTTCATTTATTAAAAACAGGTTTTTATGTTTTTAATGTGAAAAGTAGGTCTATAGGTTGGCCTATACGAATTGTAGGTTGACTCATGTACCTCATTTTTAAATTCTGTTTTCTGTGCTGACTGCATAGGTTGCCACATGACCTTTACAGGTCGGCTCAGACAATTTTCAGAAAGACACATAGAAGAAAAAAATTTCTATGTGTCGACACATCCGTTTTTCCAGGTCGACACATGTACTGCATTTTTAAAGCCTGTAGGCTTTGTTAGATGTGTCACTTCTATAGGTCGACACATGACTTGTTCAGGTCAGTACATGACCTTTACAAGTCGGCTTATGACTTACAAAGGTCGACACAAGCATCAAAAATCTTGAAAATTTGCATTGATTTCCAAACCTATTGCATTTCTTTTTGCTTCTAACTTGCGCCTGCGCGCGCACGCACACACACACACACCCCTCACACACACACACACACACACACACACACACACACACATATAAGTGATGATTCACTTACTCCAAGATTAAGTTTTTATAAATGACTCTATAATCATAACCTTTAAATTAGATATAATCAAATGGTTATAAGTAAAAATGCTAATTTAACCACTAGATTATATTCAATTTAAAGGCTATGATGTGGAGTAAGTTAAAAAAACTTACTCTTGGAGTAAATTGGTCCCCACTATGTATATATATATATATATATATATATGTGTGTGTGTGTGTGTGTGTGTGTGTGTGTGTGTGTGTGTGTGTGTGTGTGTGTGTGTGTGTGTGTGTGTGTGTGTGTGTGTGTGTGTGTGTGTGTGTGTGTGTGTGTGTGTGTGTGTGTGTGTGTGTGTGTGTGTATATATATATAAAATTTCTTTTCAACGATTTTTGTAAAATGATAAACGAAAGCTGAAACATTCAAAGACTTTTCTTCATCTTCAATCTTGATTTTATGTATACACACAAACAAAGTATCCATGATCATTCATTATTTAGGTTCCATCTAGAATCAAGTTGATAACGTCTAATTTAGCTTGTGGTGTTGTAAATTGGGTTGAGATCTTTTGGGGATTTCAAATAAGAAAACCCAGGTGGGTTTCTCTTCAAGATCAATTAGGGATTTAAATGTTTTGGACAAGATTACTAAAGTTGGATTCGACCGAGTGAAGGATTTGAAGAACGGTGGTTTCTTGTAAAGGAGTAGCGTCAGACGATGGATCATCTTGGTAAATCTTGGGTTACAACAGTTCGTAATTCGGATTCGATCAAGTGAAAGCTTTTAATAATGAAAGGTTCTTACAAAGGATTGGTGTGAGATGGTGGATCATATTGGTACTACTAGGTGACAATAATTTGCAATTTAGATTTGATCGAGTGAAAGCTTTTAAGAACAGAAGGTTCTTACAAAGGAGTAGTGTGAGACGGTGAATCAAATTGGCATTGTTGGGTTACTTGATCATGTTTGATCAAGGGAAGAGAAAGTATCAGAATCAACATCAAACTTAAGGTTTCTAGGGTTGGATTACTACATTTATCTTGTATATGGATTTTGCAAAGTATGGTTTATTTCACTATCTCAATTTGAGTTCGAATTGATGGCATACGTACCCATAGCAAGGCCGATTGAGGAACAACCTAAACAAATCCTTGTGTACTCTCTCTCTATCTATCTCTTTTACATTTTATTTTCAAATTGTTTAGTTCATCAATTGTGCGATCAATGCGTTTGGTTAATTCTTTTTGAAAACCATTTGAAAAATATTTTTTTAAGTTGATCACAATCCTTTAGACTGTGGTTGGATTTTAAAATCAACAAACTCATATAAACTTTCAAATGAAATTGATTGCACACAAGGTGTTCGATAATTTTCCTCAATAATATTTTTGTGTGATTTATCATTGGAAATAATCTATAGTTTTAGCATATCATTCAATTGGTTGTAGTTGATAGATTGTTGATCTAATTTGTGTTCATTATTATTGATTGGTTTTAAATATACGCATATCTGAGCTTTTTGATAGCGGTTTAGTTTAGAAGAATCGATTCAAGTTACTTTCGCTAGCCATTGTTTATTAAAACAGTTTTTGTAAAGCAAATATTTTATGTGGGGTCTATTCACCCCCTCTAGATAAGTCACATTTTTCTAACATATCCTCTAACAAATGCAACCCTACGATCAACAACAACAGTTATTGGAAACTGCAAACCGCATTACGAACGATCAAGATCTTACTTCAGACGGTTCAAAATACTCGAGTACCCTAATATAGGAAGACATTGTTATTGCCAGGCATAGGCCCACACGTCGAGTTTCCCCACTAAACGTTGGTAGTCACAAGAGAGACATTTAATGCGCTTGTTCCCAATTTTATTAATGTGTCATCGAAACTCTTCCATTTTCTTTTGCTAGAAGCTAAACGAAAGGCATGTATGACAAACCCTCATTCAACATGTATGTAAAAAAGCTTAGGGGGAAACAACTTTGGGCCATTTGCATGGTCCACGATGAAAGGTCCAATATCAAGCATTTCACATAAAGGAACGTGGAACATGGGGACCTTACCCAAATTGTGGATGCATGATTTCGCCCTCCAACACACTTTCCACTATTGCATCTGACCGAATGGCCACCCGCATGAGATGCCAGATCTCATGAAGATGGTTTTAACCGCTCACCCAAACTCAGGATACGTGATTCTGGCCTCCAACACACTCCTCACATTGGATCTAAACGGACGACCACACACATTAGGCGCCAGATCTCATGGAGACGATTTTAAGCATCTGTCTTATATAAAGCACACACGTGCCATTTTAGATATTCTTTTATTCACACACTCAAACTAATTTCGGTCGACCTCAAGTTCATGAAACTGTTGCTACAAGTTATTCTCCAATTTGGACGTTAGAACCCTCATGGCTTCGTCCTTTAGAAAAAACACCTCGTTAAATTGAGGTGTATGAATATTGTATATAAAATACCTTTAATCTCGATTTCCAAACAATATGGTGCTATTTTAGCCGGCTCGAAAAAGGGGTAAAACAAATGTTCAAGAGTTTCATAAGGAAAAAAAAATAAACTTAAGGTAAGTGTCTGCGGCAAATGCTTCATCATGTCAACCAATGTTTTAAGAATCAGACCGGAGATCAAACCAGTGAAACTTGCAGTTTAAGGTTCAATTGGTTAAACCTATAGTTGAGCCGTTTATTAAATAAACTAATAATATGAAACTAAATTTCATAGATATGTCACACATAATTATATGTTCACAACTTAATAAAATAAACATTTCAAAAATACATTATAAATTTAATACAACAATATCGATAATACATAACATAACATAGTTCTACACTTCATTTGAAACATTATTTAAGAATATTTTGACCAAACTAAAGAATTACAATAAAATAAATTAAACTAATTTAAACCAAAATAAAAAAAATAATAGAATATATAACTAAAATAAATTTCAAATAATTAAGAAAATCTAAATTAAATAAGATAGAATACCAAAATATATGTAATACAATATACTTCATTAAACAACAAAAAATTGAATTTGAATTGAACTACGATATACAAGTCTTATTTGACAACAACAAACAATATTGACTTGAATGACAATCAATATTGAGTTTGACATTGTGACTATGTTTGAAAGAGAGGGCATGATGATGATGGAGTGTGGTTGGAAAAAAAACTATAATGGAGTGACAAAAATTAAAAGTTTATATGGTTGTAAAAAACACACAAAATTCTTTTTTATCATTGAAGAATGTATGTTAAGTTTTGATGTTAACATATTAAAATATATATAAAATATTAAAAAATGGTCAATTCGATGCATTTTTTTGAACCAGACGATTTTACAAAACCAGCTCCGATTATTTGGTTCGAAAGATTTTAGACAGTTCAATTCGATTTTTCTGATTTTACTGCGATTTTAAGCCACTAGCAATTTTGAAAATTGATCCAACTGAACTCATCTCCGATTTCTGATCCAACCAATTAAAACGGCCGGTTCGATCCGATTTTTAAAACATTATCTTAATTCATTCCATACACAATGCATATACATTCAAATAGGGTGAGTATTTGAAAAAGTTCCTTTCTTTATTTGTTTTCATTTCCAAGTATATATTCATAATAAAATTGCATAAAGTAGGTAGGTAACTGTTAATACAAAATATGAAACTTCAAGAAACAAATCCTTAGCATGGCATTGCTTTTATCAAGTTTCAAAAGCTCAATCATTACCCTCAATTCTTAAAGACCCTTTTTGTGCTCTTCTAATCTCATTGCTCCTTTACAAACCTAGTTGCCCTTAATATGATAATACACTTCATAGATTGAATCATTAGGCACTGATTCTCATACTCTGAGATATCACAAGCTGTTTACTCTTCAAGTGGATGATTTTCAACTAAGTCATATAGTTCATATCCAATTCCAAATCCAAGCATTCTTGCCATATCATTTGCCTTCGATTCAGGCTTGGGAATGTTGTGATGCTTCAACCATGAATACACAATAAAAACTTTATTCATAACAAACAATTCCAATGCTTCTGGATTAAAAACAACTCCCATTTTCATATTCATCTGCAACCATAATATAAATACCAAGTTAGCTACTACTCGTACTCATAGTTTCTAAATTATGGTCTGCAATCGCAAATGCGGTCCCAAAATAAAATTTTATAGGTTCACAGCATAGCCACATTCGCAATTTAAAACGATGATGCTACTCACCTGATGTGGAACTAACATAGCAGCATACCGAGCTAGCTCGCCAGCTCTCCAGTCCAACAAAACTGGCAACCATGGATAAGCAGCATCAAGTCTCACAAACCATAGTCTAATATCCGGATACTCCGATAACTCACGAGGATCGCGAGGATCTTGTCTTGTATAGTTGATGGTAAAGCCAATAGAACGCTCAAGAAACTCTTGCGGTTTCACTGTAACATCAGTATCACCAAGAATCATCCATGTTAACTGTGAAGAAGATTTATATATAACAGTTATTAAAACAGTTTTCAATTTCATACCAGATAAGGGATTTTTCATGCCTGTTGCAGCTTGAAAAGGGGACAAGTCAAGACTACTAACAGCATCATTATCAATTACAACATTGAATCTGCCTTCAGTTGGAGGCAAAGGAGGTTCAACTTTAGATTCATCTGCGAACCAAATCAATGAACTTGGTAAACATATGATATGAAATAAGTGTAATGAACATAAGTATTATTATTACCATTATCATCAAATAATGATACATCGAAGTTCCCTTGTGGGTTGAAGGCAACAGAAACTGCAACATATCTACGTTGATGAGATAAAGGACGAGAAACTGGAAGGGAAAGCCATGAAGTTTGAGGTGAATTGGTTTGTTTAGGCAAAGGAGAAAGTGGAACCAAAGGTTTGAATCTGATAGTTGTAGCCATTACCAGAAACAGTTAATACAGTTTCTGTTTCATTATTTTATCTATCTACAAATTTCTCATGCCTTATGTTTTTTCAACAATGTTATCCTGTTCTTTGAATTTTTTTTTTTGGTTTTTTGATAATAGCCAATGTTTGGGCCTTTAAGATTGTTATTACTCAAGCGGCCCAACTATGATATGATTTATATAAGAGGGTACTTTCCCCACCCAATGTGCTGAAGGATCACCCTTTAGAAACCCAAAAATATTCTTTCTAAATTTTAGAAGTGTATATTTGGACGCACTTTAATTACACACTGACACTTTATAAGTGAGTCATCTACAGAGATGCATATTTGTATATTTTATAGAGTGAATTCGTAAGTGCATCTCCAAACTAACCCTTCAAAGCATTTTGAGTTGATGAAATAACAGTTTTTGTATAATCTAGTGGGCAAAGACAGATTTAGGTGTCATGAATTGGGGGCAACTTACTTAATTTTATGTTTAATAAATATTTATTAATTTTTATATTGATACAATAAAATTTTTGGACCCATCACTGCCAGTGGGTATTTCAGAAGTGCGTCTCCAAAAAAAATCCTCAGAACATAGAACATCAGTCATAGGCAGCAAGTTTGTCATGAAAATGATATATTTAAGCCAACTTATATTTTAGACCATTTATACTAACGATATCATGAAACCATATAATTAATGTAATTCAATGATGTCATATATAAACTCAATCAATAATCAAATCCAAACTTTAATCAATTAATCGAAAACATTACCATTATACATAATTTGTTTAGAAAACACAAATAATACAAATGTTACCAAAATAAAAATAAAAATAAACTATTGTGTATATCTAACCCCCTTATTTATCCTCTGCCTTATGTACTGCAAGTCATTATATGCCTCGGCTAAGATGACCTATACAATCGTTATACCAGAGCTGCCTTCCTCAAAATCTCCTATCTCTAAAGCATCTATCGTAAGCATCGCAATATGCCAACATCCGTTAAGACATCTTGGGCGCGCATGGTCATCCCTAGTGTACTCCTCTTCTAATATCTTTTGATGAGTTGGCATTTTAAAATTTTTAACGTTTTAAAATTTTTTCAAACATTAACAGTGTTAATCGGTTAACGCATATGGTTAACCGATTAACCTGTTCAAAATTCCAGATTTTCTGAACTTTTTAAGGTGTTAACCGATTAACCCCAGGTGTTAACCGATTAACACTGTGCCAGAATGTCATATTTGCTGTTTTGTTTGCTTGTTCGCATATCATTTCGATTCGAATCATCATAGATCAGTGTGATGCATTAGGATTGAATTGTTTTGGATATTTGTCACTGTTTGTGGTTGGTTAATCATGATTTTGTTGAAATGTATGTTCATGTTCCAGTCGGTTGCATGCTTGTGTATGTGGATCGAAGTGAGCATTTGTTTGCATATTTATTTGCTTTTATCTCTTATTTTTCTCCACATGTTTGCATCATTCTTGCATCGCTGTTGAGGTCGAGACACGCTTGTGGCGGCTGCTGCCCCACACATTTTTTCCTCCCTCCCACCATTCTAAGTGCGCATTTCCATGTTTGCATTTTTCTACTTGTGATTGATCTTTCCTTTGTTCTTCTTGTGCTTTTTGCCATGATCCCCATAGGGTTCCTAGTCCCTCCGTTTAGGATGGGAGTAGGAGAGACATTAGGTGTTCAATCCAAGCATGCTAACATTAGGGTAGATGTTTCCCCTTTTAATCCAAACTTTAGGATCAGTTTGCATGACAACGTTAGGGCCAAGTCTCCCTTAGACATTTCGTGCGTCTCTCTTCTCATCTTCAAATAATCTTAACATACTTAATAAAGATAATGGATGTTGTGCCATGAGCCTTATACTTGGGAAATGGTGATTGGGTGCCACCTCTGAATTGCCTAGAGTGTTTAGTATACGTCCTTAGGACGATATGCGACGCATTCAATCCTAGGTTTTAGACTTTAGTACAACATACATTATGAACACTCAAATTCAAAACACTTATTCTCTAAAAAAACACAAAAACACTTCAAACCTTTTTCATCCTTCGGGATCTTAATCAGGAAAATCTTTTCAGATAAAAGAGTGTTGTTAACTTTTAGTTCTACCGCAAACGGTAACGCCTAAGTCTCCAATGGTCGAGCTGCATACACCAACTGCTAGAACTACTTGTTAACCCTACTCAGGCCTAAAAACTTTTGAACTAACCTGTGGCATTTTAGCCCGAACTACGTTTGCTCGGATATTTCATGCCAGATGAAAGTACGTAGGCACAAGACGCGATGTCTTGGCGAGCAACCTTCCCCCCTTTTACCCGTAGTTAGCCGAACTACATTGACCCTGACTTTCCCATTGCACGAGGGAATACGTAGGTACAGAGCTGTGATGCTCTTCCGAGTCTCTTTTCTTTTCTTTTTGTCCCGCAATCCTGTAGCGTAGATAGTTTAAACACACCCTTAGATAGACAACAAGCGTGGATCCCGTCGAGTACGACGGACGTGAGGGGTGCTAGTACCTTCCCCTTGCGTAACCGACTCCCGAATCCAGACTTGGTTGCGATGACCTCGTCTTTTCCCTTTTTCGTTAGGTTTTTCCGATCGTTTCCTTTCCCTCTCTTTAGGATAAATAACGAAAGGTGGCGACTCTTCTGTTTTTCTCTAGGTGTTTTTCGCAGTAGCGACAACAATCTTTCGCTTTGAGGAACATGATGTCCTCGTCAGGAAATTCAAACTTCATTGGTTGATAGTCTTCAATTGGCTGTTCAGCAAGGTATTTTGACAAGACACTTCCCTTGATGGCTTTCTGGGAAACATATTGTATATCGTACTCTGTCAGTACCATCTGCCATCTGGCAATTCTTTCTGAAAGCGCTTGCTTCTCGAAGACATACTTGATCGGATCCATCTTTGAAATCAGCATGGTTGTATGATTAAGCATATATTGTCTCAAATGTTTGGCAACCCAAGCGAGTGCGCAACACGTTTTCTCGAGCATTGAGTAACGGAACTCACAGTCTGTGAACTTTTTACTCAGATAATAGATCGCATGTTCTTTTCTTCCAGTCTCGTCGTGTTGACCGAGAACACAACCCATATTGTTCTCAAGAATCGTTAAGTACATGATTAAAGGCCTTCCAGCTACTTGGGGTATCAATATCGGAGGCTCCTGCAAGTATTCTCTTATCTTATCAAATGCTTTTTGACAATTTTCATTCCAGACGATCGCCTGATCTTTCTTTAGCAATTTAAACATTGGTTCACGCGTGGCTGTGAGATGAGATATAAATCGAGCAATGTAGTTCAATCTCCCCAAGAAACCACGGACCTCCTTTTCTGTTTTCGGCGCTGGCATATCTTGTATAGCTTTTATCTTGGCAGGATCGACCTCGATTCCTTTTTCACTGACAATGAACCCCAATAACTTTCCAGACTAAACTCCAAAAGTGCACTTATTTGGATTGTTGTAAAGTAGCTTTTTGTCATGTGAAGGTTAAAATGGCTACAAAGCCATTGCTGTAGGGTGACTGTGAAGTTTTTCTTCTCTCTTTTTTCTTTATGAGTACATTCTTGAAAGATGAAGAGAAAATACTAGAACTTTGTATTTGGCGCAGTATCTTAAACTTTGTAAACCATGGTTAAACTTTGGATTTGAATTTTGATGCATTAACTTCGCACTTAAACCTATGATGAATGGGAAAAGAATTTGAGTTCTCAATTTGTATACTTTGAATTAACTTTGCACTTGTAACATGTATACTCTTTACAAATCTCTTGTAAATTTTTCAATTTTGATCCTTCTTGGATGCTTGAATCCTTGGATTTGAGTTCTGGTGTTTTAACTTGATTCTTGTGAGAAGAATCTTGCAACTTGTATTCCAAATTCTCAGGATCTTGAAATTTCATGGCAACTTGAATGACAACCTTGCATCGTAAGAAAAACGATTATGAATCTTGTCTTGGACTCTAATCTCATATCTCCACAATCTTGACATTAATGTTGTATGTCTTGAATTGATAAAAATTGAAATCTTAATCACATGGTTTGAACTTGGAATTAAACTTTGAATTTTTAGTATTTAAGGTGTAAAACCCCATATTGAAAATCATGATGACATCACTAATGGATCCACCAACCTTGAACGTCGCTTTGAGATCTTATACCGACAGCTTCCCTTCCTCTAACTTACACTAAAGAATCGTTTTATTGTCTTGTATCTCTCAATCCGAGCTTGCTGTTGAAACATAGATTTTAGTTGTCGGATGACGTTGTAGGTATCCATGGTTGCAAAACGCTTTTACAAGCTTGACTCCAACTAGAAATGAAAATGAAAATTCTAAAGTTGAAAATTCCATGAAACTTAAAAGGAACCGGTGAAGAAAATACCTCAAGAGTAGTCTCTTAGTGTGTGTCTATATATATATATATATATATATATATATATATATATATATATATATATATATATATATATATATATATATATATATATATATATATATATATATATATATATATATATATATATATATATATATATATATATATATATATATATATATATATATATATATATTTATTGATATTGATGAGAATGATCTTGTTTGTGGTAGCATAACCATAAAGGTGGATTTTAATGCTTGGTCTGGTCTCTGAGCTACAATTCTTCTCAATTTGATGTCCTAATTGAAAGAATAAATGATATTATTATTATTTTTTTTTAAATTTAATATGTTGTGCACCCAAAAAATAAATCTCAGATTTGCATTAGATGAGGTGATAACTTTTTTTTAAAATATATTATTTGTATTAGTGTGTTCCCGTATTTTTTTCACTTAGTAACTTTTTGTATTCCTTGACCATTTGATTCTATTATGTATTTTATTAATATTATTTTGTCATTAAAAATAATTTAAATTGATTATTTTTAATAATTAAATTTATTATTTTTAGTTATGTATTTATTTTGTACATTTATA